GCATGTGCAGTTCGCCGAGGGTTTGCACTTCAGTGCTTTTCATGATACTCGGCAATAGCGGGGGTCTGAACATGATACTGTATACAGACACACTAGACTGACTACACTACAGCCCACGGAGCCAAACTCCGATGCTGTCAGTACTATGTATGTATGTATGTATGTATGTAGGTGGCATGTGTATAGACCCCACCCAACGTGAAAATACCTAAAAACCATCATCCGAAAAGGTATTTGCTTGAAACCAACGAACGTGTTCAGCATTCCACGGAAAGCACCACTTACATTATGCCCATATATAATCTCCTCGGAACTGAAACTAAACGTAGCAGAATCTGTCCAAATGCTTGCCTCCTTATCAACTACAGACTATATTGTTCGTCGTTGAGCCCAGCCTGCTGAGTTGCCCTGGCATGTTCGTTCGTAGCTCAGTGGCAGAGCACTCGGCCTAGAGAACAGAGTGTCGTAGGTTCGAGTCCCACCTTGTATGATAGCTCTTATTTCTTGGAAGAAGTGTTTAGTTTTGTGTGTGATACGCGTGTGTCGGGTCCTGTGAATCATACACAACTGACTGAAGTGAAAGTGGGGGCTCCACTGTTTGGCTCAAGCAATGAATCTTGTTTCGTACTATATACCTGCTGGGAATATCTGTGCAGTTTATCCGTCATGTGAACGATCCTCCGTTTAGCATTCAGTAGATCGTCCTGCGATGGAAAAGAGTTCATCATGACACAATATTTGCTGACCAAGTCACGATTTATATTGTATGTATGGATAATACTGGTTTATGTGGTGAGCCGATTGTGGGTTAAGGAAGATAGAAAATGCCAATGGAATGCGTAATTTGATGTACACCACTCCACAAAAAACTCCCCTTCCTCCTTTTGTAACGAGATTCTCTGTGGTGGTTTCTCCTAAAGGAAGTCACTAAGCTACATAGGGATTTCCCCTGTGGAGGGGTGGACACTGGACAACTATCAACCAACTATCCTGAATACCTTGCTATATATAGTAAATATCCCTATATCCCCATTTCTTAGGAATTAGTTAGTGATGTCATGCATTTCCCAGCAAATCCACAGTGTGTTAGTACCCCAAGAGCCCATATTAGACTGTAGTATTCTCAGCATAGTGAGGAGGCTATGTAAAATGCCTTGAGGGCTTTTACATATAAATACGTAATGCTTGCAAATTTCAGCGGACGAGCTCTCTCTATCTTAGAACAAACTGCAATTGATGCACACCTATTTTCACGTCTCCGTCGGTTGCACGGGGAACCCATATAAACACCATCAACGTTACTACGATATTTAGTAGACACATTTTCATGCGGCAGTGAGTAGGAGGTATGCTGAGAATGATAATATGTACGTGTAGAGATATCACAGGGCTCCCCATGATTACTGCTGGCAATGGTCATGCACCACGTATGGAAACCACATAACACGCATTTCCCATTTAATGTCACACTTCCACACACGTTTCTAAGTACAAAAGCTTGGTTTGTGTAAATATTTCAAGGAAAGCAATTTGCTGTCCATTCGACAGAGTCATATCTTGGCACATGCGAACAGAAGGCTAACAAAGATGGCACAACAAAACTCAGAACTGCTGACACAGACCAAAACGGTGTTCTGTGTACACCGATCTCAACTGCTACCTACACAAATCTCAAACCCAGTAAAGTTGAACGAACAACTAAAACTTTGCGACACAGAGAGCTTTCATTGGCACTACAACAATACCCAGCGTATTTTTCAAGCCAAACTTTTCCAAAACTGCAAAAACGAGTAGAATACTGTCAAAAAAATGAACTACAGGCACCTCCCCACTCCCTCGGTTTTTCCCGCCTTTTTTACCTGTGCTCTTTTTAGCTCAGCCCTGATTTGCTTGTTCTCTGCGGCCAGTTTTCGGATCATCTGAGTCAGGGTGAGCCGGGTTTGTCTCGAATATGGATCTCTCACACTAGACCGCATCTCCTCCAGATTGGTCAGGACCTGTCACCATGACGACACGGGTCAGTGATATTTTTACTCAAGAAGACACTTAACAAAATTAATATTACTTGCGACACAAGAAGATGATGATGATGAACAAAACTCCCTATCGTAGCCCCATACATCTATGATGCTAGGTACCATGTCAATCCCTATCACTAAGTACTACCGTTGAAGAAGAAGAAGATGAACAAAACTCCCTACCATAGCCCCATACATCTATGATGCTAGGTACCATGTCCAATCCCTATATACTAAGTACTACCGTTGAAGAAGAAGAAGATGAACAAAACTCCCTATCATAGCCCCATACATCTATGATGCTAGGTACCATGTCCATCCCTATATACTAAGTACTACCGTATTTAGTGATACTTTTGGCATTAAGGCATCTGAAATGTTGTTTAGACTACATAGTTTCTGAGATTTCACTGGAAATTCAGCACAACCCACACACACACAGGACGCAACACGTGATAATACACTATTCGACGGGACACGTTTTTGAGCAACAGAGGTGTAAAATGAAAGCAAAAACAATACATCCGGTGATTAAAAAGGAAACTAAACTTATAATTATAGCACCACAGACAGCTGTAGGACAACTATTGTGTGAAGTTGTGCACACACAATTAAAATATACCAGGGCCAGGTTGCATGCATAGAGAGGCATATATTTTCCATCGGGGAGAGAAATCCGTTTTTGTCGTTCCGAGAACAAATAATTAAAGCACAAAAAAAGAATCTTTCGTGGAGCGTCAATGTGAATGCATGCGCGATAACGAAAAAGAGCCAACGACAAATTCTTTTTCTCGCATTTGACGGAAATTTAACAGAACAAAATCAACCCTGTTAACAGCAGACAGTCGAGTGAGGCAAAACGGAACAAAGAACTTCAGACAACACAGCAAACAGATCACACACCCACGGCCAACACCTGCGCGGCTTCAAATAACGCAAAACTGGTGCACAGGGGTGGGGTCATTCGCGGCAAACAAAGCAACGGCAGCGAGTAATGAAATTAGCAATTAGCAGTATATTATACTCAATTACTGGCTAGTGTGTCTGTTTGGACAAGCTGCTCAGCTGACTAAGTGTATATACACTACACAAAAACACAGGGATTTGATGACAAATTGCCATATACAATCCCTAGGCTCCCAAGCTCCCAGAAACATTTAATGGTAAGAGTAGCCCAGACACTTATCAGGTGTTGTTTATAACTAGACACTTGGATACTTAACGCTCTCACTTGAATGTATGCAGCACAGGCTTAGGCATGGGTGTGGTGGGTGTGGGCCAATAAGGTGACCTTACAGGGTGTCCCTACTAGTTACGAATAAGGTAGTACACCAATGGTCTCATATTGAACTGCAGAGTGCCACTGGTGGTCTTGCTGGTAGGAAAGTCACCAGCAAATCATTGTGTACGGTTTTAACACAAGCCAAGTGCATATCAAACTATTCTACAACACCTGGGACAACACGTTTTTGAAGAAAAATAGCTGCCCCAGGTGGGACTCGAACCCATGAGACTCTCTATTCTCTATACAACTGCTCTACCACTGCATTACGTACCATGGCAGCTCATGAGGCTGGGCTCAAAACACACCACAAGCCAGAGGCAAACCCCAAACTCTGTGGATGGATAACTCTGGCTCCGCAGAGTGCTCTGGGGGCAAAGGCTGCAATCCTATGGCTGTCTCGCTGGTATTTATTCCTTTGCACAATGCTCTCGGGACAGTGAATAATGAAATAATATACGGAAACCGCCCGAAAATGGTGTTGTAGTTGTCTTAGGTGGCATGACGGGGTTAACGGTAGTGGAAAATGAAGGTGTCTAGCAAACCATGCTCCGTTGTCACATCATGTAGCGGTAGTCAGCAGAATATCCAGCGAAGAAAGCTATCCGAGACCCTGTACTTATGGGTAAATTGCTTGTCGAAACGGTGGAAAGGGGACGTTTATTCTTTACACGCTAGTCACCACCGCTCCTTACCAAATAAATATACACACGTTCTCTAACACCCGTGTGCTCTAAACGCTTGTCTTGCACCGAAGCCTAAAAGAAGACCCACAGTGTACATACAATGTCATATATATATATAGTACAACAATTGAAGACCCGGGCAGTGGGTAATGATATGTGCACAGCGACATGTGGTAGACCATAGCACCCTTGGCATCTGGAGGGTGTTGCCACATATGAACACACACAGATATCACCCACACATTCAGCTAGCCACACGTGTCCTACATAATATGGCAGTGTACAGAAAAACCTCCAATTAATTAAGAACACATTGGGGACTTAGAAAATTGAATTGTCTCTTTGTAAGAGATTACTGATCCCACTGTTACATAGTACAGACTATCTTTTGCTACAGGATTTTTCAAAGAGCCGCACCCTGTAATCAGACACAGTAAGATATAAACGTGGGCTTGCTAGCATGTAATTGGACAACCTCCTTGCTGGAGTGTGTCTTTCTACTAGCATACCTCTAGAATACTGATCAGTACATTATCACGGAAGAGTAGATCTTTGAGGGAGAAAACGTTAGGGATTTGCACGGAACCTTCCATTAACTGTTTGACTCTTCCTCGGTGTGTACGAAAAGTGAAGGGAAAGAGACAAGAGGAAGAGACAAGAGGATGAGACAGAGGATGAAGATACGGAAGAAAGGAAGAGAGGGTGGAAGGTGAGTCAGGCAAGCAGAAGGTGAAATATTAAAGTAGCCTGACGTGTGCGAGACAACATGAAACACTGCATACCTGAAATATTGACGGTCGCAGCGCAGCGTTGGTCTGCAAACACTCGGTGACAATGGCCACAAAGGGGTGCTCCCTTCCCAGTACGCCGTAGAGCGTGGACATGCTGTCTTCTCGTCTCTCCAGCTCTGACCTGGCCACGATTCTTCCCGAACTGTCGACAAATGTCGCAGCCTCCACGCCCGGTTGCTTCTGGGTGATTGTGAATAGGAGAAGGTGTCCGAACGAAAATATGTCAACGGATGTGTTGTACCTAGCCTCACGGCTGAAAACTTCGGGAGGCATGTACGTTGATGTCCCCGGAACTCGAGAAAGGGTAGCTTCGAGCTTTCCAGCCGGGAGATTCAGTATTCTTGCCACGCCAAAGTCGGCCAGCTTGGCACGCATGTTATTGTTCAGGAGGACGTTTCGGGCGGTGAGGTCCCGGTGTATGATGGCCGGGTGGCGTCCGTGTAAGTGGGCCAGGCCCAGCGCAACGTCGCGGAGAATGGAGCGCTTCATGTAGAGAGGTATGTCTGGTGTCGTTTCTAGCAAGTCGTCGAGACTGCAGTAGAGGTGCTCCATGACTAGTATGGGTAGAGAGGAAGAGGGAGAAAGGCAGAGACCCAGGAACTGGACGACGTTGGGATGGCGGAGCTCGCTCATCAGCTTGCACTCGTCCACGAACCGGTGGGCCATGTCGTCGGCTCCCTCGTTCTCGACGTTTATCAGAACGTCGTGGATTTTCTTTCCCGCGCACATCATACCGTGGTGTTCTAGCGGCTCCACGCTGCCGTAGGCTCCTATGCCGAGGGACGGGCGTCCCGTCCACTTGACCCCCGCCAGAAAGAACTTGCCCAGCTCGCGGAGGATAATCGCGGAAGACGAGGAGCGACGGCCGAGTGTAGCGGGCCCGGTGCCGGGTCCACCGCCGCTGCTCCCGTTGTTACCTGCCATGTTCTCACTCAATTGTCGTCCGTACTGGGCTACACATTCCCTGCTGAAACCATAAACCCGACTGGACATCGACACCTCTTTCCTTCCGTTACGCGCACGCAGATCCGTCATTGTGCGCATGCGCATATATTCTATATAATATATACGCTAGCGCTATAAAAGTCCATAAAACACACTAATACGCACACCAAATAATATATCTCAAGTGAGCATACATCAAGTGTTGCTTCGTGGGCCGAGAAAGCTGGAAAACAATGAAAATGAACTGTTTCTTGGCCTTCCACCTGTTTTACTGTTGGAAGAAGATGGAGGAGGAGGAGGAGGGAGCTGGTGACTGTTGTGGATGTTACTGCTGCCAATGGGAGATTTGTTTGCAGGAGGGGGAGAGTGTGATTTGGAGAATGTAGAGGCTCGAGGTTTCAGTGTTGATGATGAACCAACAGACTGTTGAAGTGCCCGAAGCTCGCTCTGTTTTTGCTCTCTATATTATATCAGAGAGGGACAGATTGAGATGGAGAGAAAGAGATATTATAAGATCTAAGCACAATTATGTGTTCAGAGTAGTTTCGTAAGTTGCGTTTAGGACACCTCACTAATATCACCACACTTTTCTGTCCTATTGGTGTCCCAGATTACAAAATAGTCAATCTCTACAGTTGTCCCACTCTTACAGCTGTTGCTGCAGTTCAATGATGACAACTTCCAGCTCTGCCCTCTCCTTCTCCCTCTCCTCTCCGACTGAGGTGAGCTCTAATTGGAGTCTCGCCAACTGCTTGTCTCTCACCGACACCAGTTCTTCAAAGTAGTTCTGAAAAAAATGCAGGAAAGTTAAACGCGTAAACAGATCATAAAATATCTGCAAAATTAGCTTTAAAAATCCAAGCAACGTAAAGAACTGCAAACCTTTTGTTCTCGTTCGGTTTTCAAGAGTTCTCGGAGGTGTGTAGGCGTATCAACTGCCCCTCCCCCACCTCCCCCCACCTCACCCCCCTCCCCATCTACCACAACCTCACCAGACCCCGCCCACAGTTCCGGTTGCCAGGGAAACGACACCCTGCGGTTGGAGCTCAGTTTCTGCTCTTCAAAGAAGTCGTCGACCTGGCTGCTGTGGCTGATGTGTCGACACGAGGAAGGAGGGGAGAGAGAGAGAAATGGCAGTTTTATAAAATAGCACTGAGAGATATCTGTATGGGAGTCGCATATGTATGTCGCGTATGTATATATATATATATACCTTTGGTTAAAAAGAAGGTAAAGCGAGTAGTCGATTTCTCTCCGCTCTTTGAGGTCGAAATCACGATCACGGAGACACAAACTGAAAATGAAATTATCTATGATAATAGCAAAAATAACGGACATTACGTATCTATCATTTTTTAAAAACTTTTTTGGTAGGAAGGAAAGTAAAAATACGATAAGTATAGTGATGCAAACCTAAAATTGGAGTAAAAATGAACAAGCCCAATGGATTACTAGATGCATGATGAAAGGTGTCGTAGAAGAAAATTTAACCCAATGATAACAGTTTTAAGTGGTACACTAACTTGAAGTCAATGTTGTCGAGGCATTTCACTGTACCAGCCAGTTCTGTGAGCTCTTCTGATACTAGAAATGCACCTGGGAGATAGTCTGCCCTGCATGTGAAAACTACGAGGTAGAAAGGCAAAGGCACAACACACAAATCAACTATACCCAGGACAGCTTTTTTTTCCAAGGAAAAAAGAAGAGCTGCCCTAGGTGGGATTCGAACCCACGAGTCTAGGTGAGCGCTCTACCAACTGGGCTACCAGGGCAACTCAGCTCATGAAGTGGTGGTTTTATATAGCACGGGAAAGACTCAGTTGTACGGCTAATAGGAAACGCTGAGAGCTATATACTAACTGTAGAAGGTCCTGTTTGCTGAGTAGGGAAGTCATGAAATGTGAGAGACGCTTCTGAACCAACATCAGTCGAATCCACGCTCTGCACTGCATCGTGTGTGCGTGTGTGTGTCAGCAATTTCCGTGCGTTTAGAAGGAAAATGGGAGAAAAAATTCACAATACTATATAGATGCTGTTTACATTTTAAAGTATATAACACCAATGAGACAGAAGAAAGTGTCCATAAAATTTGGGGGGTCACTAGTGGTAAGAGTGTTGGTTTGCTAACCCTGCCAATCTCAGAGGTGATATTCTCCATGTCTTGAACGGAGGAGACAGTGATGGGCGGGGCTAGCCGGGAGAGGAGGGGCCAGAATGACTGAGAGTCTGAGCTGCCAAACACCCTCCATCTCACTGCAATTAAATTCTTATTACATCTTATTCCCAGTTGTTATAGAGCGAGTGTCAACAAACGTGTTATGGTTCACCCTCGGCGCGCATGCGCAGCGAGGGTTACGGTAGTTGTCCCGTAAGTGTGTCTGTCTGTCAGTCAGTCTGTCAGTCAGTCAGTCTGTCTGTTACCACGTTTTCTGCCACCGCGCGCACGAAATCAGGTAAATGCGATATGAGCGGGTCAGTGCTATCACTGGGTTGATTTTTTAAAAAAGGCGATTTTCGTAAAAACTACTGTGTTTTAAAGTTATGGCGTGAAAACCAAGTGAACAAGCCAATATGTAAATTAGCACAGGCTTACCTCGACCGCGTCCGTTCGCTCTGTGTGTCTTGAAGGCACAACAAGTCACAACGAAGGGCATGTATCGACTCACGCATGCTATTTACTACTGTAGCTAGCCCGTGCCAGACTCTCCGCGAGCTACTAGCGGGATACCACGAGTAAAGGCATACAAAACCCAGCCCATCAATTAGTGGTACCGTGCATGCGCAGTTCGCCGAGGGTTTGCACTTTAGTGCTTTTCATTATAGTAGTAGGTATGTAAGCCTGTTAGTGTACATAGAATGCCACGCTAAAATTCTTCCACGTATAATGGTTTTGGTACACAAGAATAGCCATTTTTACATCTCGCTGTTTTTGTAAGTGTTTCGAATGTGACTCTGAATGGACGCTATATTTCTCCCATGTATCATTGCTTGGTGACAAAGTTTACAACAAACATATATAGCACAACTGCATACAACTTCCATTGTACTGATACAATATGATGTGTGCGTATATTAGAGCCGGCTTTGATAGGGGAGTTGTGTTCATCACCACCTATTTTTCTCCTTCTTTACAAATAAACCAAGAAACATACAGAGTCTCACAAACTCCCTCTCTCACACACAAGGGGCATAATAGAAGGCGGAACCTTGAATCCTGTGAGTGAAGACGTGCTCCATGGCCGCGCAGAAGTTGTCCAGATCCCCGCAGTCGTCTCCCACCGCCTCGAACGCCGCCTTGTCCACCAGACTCTTGACACACATTCTGAGAGACACACGGCGGCTGCGCGTAACTGACAGGTGTCGTTTATATGAAGCTACTGTAGGCATGACAACACGACCGCTGTCGCTCTGTTTTCGCCTCTACGCAGCCTAAAAAACGACGCATGGGCGGAGAAACGCTCGTCTTACTTGCTAATTCCCAGCAGATTCTTCCTCTGGGTGACAAGATTCTGTTGACTGAGTCTCTCGCCAGCTGAAAGGCCCCTACTCTCCATCTCTCCCCCCTCGTTTCGCGCTGCGCCGATAAAATGCTGAATCGGCAAATAAGATCACATGATGCCGCGATAGGGGGCGTGGTAAAAAAAACAGGGATCAGAGAATGGTACAGAAGCGGGATCGTTGTTCCTCGATAGCCAGTTGTCCCTGCAGCTCCGTCACTTGGTCGTTGAGTCGACGACGCATCCCCTCGCTCTTCTGCAGTTGCTCTGATACCTCCTCTAAATCCTCCTCCTGCATGGCAACAATATAGAAGAGGAATAGCGGCTTGCTATGATGAAATACAGTACTTCTTTACTCACAAGTTCTCTTTTGTTCTCATCGAGCTCCTGGTAAGCTCGCTGGTACTGCTCGAGACTACTTTGTAGCTGCTTCACCTAACACAATACAAAGTTTTATGTGCTAAAAAAATACGAGTCCAGCAGTGAAACAAACAAACCTGGCCCTTTGTGTCATTCAACTCTTCTGTTGTGTTATTCTGCAGATGAATCATCATATAAGGTGAGAAAATGACCGTGTTTCGCTATCTAGGTACGTTTATATACCAGTTCAGTGGTGACATTGTCTCTCTCGAGCTCAGTGTGTTGGCTCTTCTCACACTCTCTGTTGTACCTCACAGTCAGTTCCTCTAGCTGTTGGTCTCTCTTCTCCAGCTCTGTCTTGGTCACCATGTCTTCAAGCAGAGAATAAGTCTAGCTGACTATATACATGTAAAAGTATAGCTGTAGTTGTTGATGTATGGTGTACCGTTGTGTGTCTTTTTGTGTAAAATCTCCTCTAGTTGTCTGTCCCATGTTTCCAGACTGCTTTGCATCCGCCGAATTGTCTGGCTTTTGGCCTCTGCACAACATTTTACACCAGCATTGAAAGCCCAACAACACTGTGGCTGTATTCATTACCAGAGTTAGGGTCGGGAGGTTCAGGAGACGGTGGTCGATATCTGGTGGAGATTCTCCGCGAGATCCCTGGCCTTCTCTTGTTGTCTGCCTCCGCCGTACTCTGGTGTACAGTCGACCGCGAGAATGGCTGCAAGGAATAATGCACGTTAGCTCATTGCACACTGTCCATCTGTTCTACACACCCTACATGATGATTGCAGAGTCGTTTGCATGCTTGCATGGTTAGATTTACTCTACAAGTCTTCATAAGATTTAGGCTAAAAGCAACTTTATGATTCCCGCGCGAAAATTCAGCGTTACCCTGCTGCTCTCTGATTTGCTGCGAGATCTCTGTGTAGAGAACGATCTGAACTTGGTCCCGTCAGACATCTTCCTTCGTCCCACTCCCCACGACTGGGTCAGATCCAACTCTGCTGTTCGGTCGTCTTCGTCTGCAGACCAATAGAACAAGTCTCCGCAGTATCAGCGCCTTGCAATGTGGATTCCAACTAGCTAGTTACCTCTGTTTTCTGGAGGGAATGTCTCGGGCGCTGGATCCAGTCGCAGATGTGGCCTCAGAACTGTGTCGAGAGCTCCGCGCTCCGAGTTTGAAAGCATCTCTGGGGTAGCCATTGCTGCACAACCTGCCCCTCCCCCTTTTAGGCATTCTTACTGCGCACGCGCATTGAACTTTGACCTTTGCTCAGCACCAGGTGGCGGAAAGATGGAGGGACAGGACATCAGTGGGGCTGAGGTTCACCACACACTGGATGGGAAGGCCGTGGCGGCTGAAATTCGGCGAGAGCTGGCGGGCCAGGTGGCAGCCGAGCGAGCCAAGGACCCCACATTCTCCCCGGGTCTTGCCATCCTGCAAGTCGGCGGTCGGGAGGACTCGAACGTCTACATCAGAATGAAGACCAAGGCTGCTCAGGAGGTACGTACGCATGTTTATGAATACTAGCTGGAGAGGGGGGAGGTGATCGAATGAGGCAGTTCTTCCCCTCTCAGCTCCCTACTTGATTATTCCCCAACTAAGCCTGAATCTCTATAAAGATCAACTCTTTCCCCTTATATTGTTTGATTTGCCTTCCCTTGAAGATTAATTAAAGAACACATAGCCCATTTTAGCTCCACCTTGGAACTTATTTTTATTTCCCTCTAGGTAGGGATAACTGTGCAGCACATCAAGCTGCCGGCAGACACCACCGAGTCATCGCTCCTGGCGACCATTCAGAGGTTGAACTTTGACCCCAGTGTCCACGGGATCCTCCTCCAGCTGCCACTGGACACTACTGGTGACGTGGACAGCGACAAATGCACCAACGCCATCGCTGTTGAGAAGGTTAGCCACCGCTTTTTCATCTCGTTCGGTAATCAATCAATCATGGTAACATTAGTTAAATGATAACCAACAGTACTGTATGTGTCTTGGGTTAGTTTATTTATAAGGAGTTTTGTTTTATCGTGTAGTTTCAAAGCACAATTATTAATACCACAAATTTTTTAGCTCCTTTTTTTCTTCCACGTGGCCTGCCCATGTTATTGCCCTTTATCAGAGGTGTATGGAATTCTGAGTTACTTATTAAACCCTTTTGGACTGTGCTACACAAGCTCTGAAAGGGTTAAAGAGATTTCCTTGTGTCCAGGATGTGGATGGATTGACGGAGGTGAATGCCGGGAGACTGGCGAGAGGAGACGTCGAGTCTTGCGTAATCCCGTGTACACCTCTCGGGTGTCTGGAGCTGATTAGGAGGTGTGGCCACGACATCAGAGGGAAGGAGGCCGTCGTTTTGGGTCGCAGCAAGATTGTGGTATGTCACATATACGTCCGGTTTTTACAACAACAAATCGGGAGTTTGACGAAAACAAGAAAAATTAGACCAGCATTGGGCCCACACTTTGCACTTTCAGACTGAAGAGTTTGTCGAATATAATTTTGCATTCAGTGAAGCAGTAGCACTTTGAAATTCAGCAGAGTTCAATATCACAAATGCATAGTAAATATGGAGAAAACAGTGCAATTTGGCAATGAGTTGATACACTGTTTTAGGAGCTTTAAAGGCAGACTGTGTGCAATACAAGTGTTCCACAATGTTCTGCGTTGGTGTCTGTTTGTACTGGGGTACAGGGGACACCGATGGCTGATCTCCTGACCTGGAACAACGCCACAGTCACCGTCTGCCACTCTAAGACAGTGAACCTGGAGTCTGTGACAAGAAGAGTAGGTTGCAGTTCGTATGAGCTCCTGCTAATCTTTCTTCATCCTCTCATTTCTCTCTCTCTCTCTCTCTCTCTCTCTCTCTCGTTTTCCTCCATCCTACGTTTCTCTCCTCCCTTCCCTCCCTCTCTCCTTCCCTCCCTCTCTCCCTTCCCTCCCTCTCTCCTTCCCTCTCCCTCTCTCCCTTCCCTCCCTCTCTCCCTCCCTCTCCCTCTCTCCCTTCCCTCCCTCCCTCCCTTTCCTCCCTCTCTCCTTCCCTCTCCCTCCCTCCCTTCCCTCCCTCCCTCCCTTCCCTCCCTCCCTCCCTTCCCTCTCCCTCCCTCCCTTCCCTCTCCCTCTCTCCCTTCCCTCTCCCTCCTCCCTTCCCTCCCTCTCTCCCCTCATTCTCTCCCCCTAAGGCTGACATACTGGTAGTTGCTATTAGACAGCCGCAACTGGTCAAAGGTCAATGGATAAAACCAGGAGCAATTGTCATTGACGTTGGCATTAATTCCATTCCAGGTCAGATATACACTATACCATACACACACTTTTATTGTGTAACACTAACTTAGCATTATTATGCGGTGGGGGGGGATATTTTAATGAACTCCATCTATTACTGTGGAAATTTTGATGGAGAAATGTATTAGAGTAAAAACCTCAAAATTTGATTGAAATACCGGTTTGTTTCCTTAGTTGTATATACATAAAGATAAAAATGTTGGTCCCTGGCACCTTTATAATTCTCTTACATAAGACGAATGAAGTGTTAAAATTGGAAACATTACTGTTTCTTTGGCTGTAGACTCGACTAAGAAATCAGGTCAGCGGCTCGTTGGCGACGTCGACTTCCAATCAGCGTCAAAGGTATGCAAATCACAACACATCCTTTTGGGTAATAAAATCACTACAGGAACTTTTTGGCAATCTTACACAACTCCCCATTATACATTCACATGGGCTTTTAAAATCTCCGTGCTAAAGCCGTTTCACTCAGTCTGTGCTACTGTAGCGGAACAGAACGTGGCTCTCTTTGTCTCTTCTCTCTTGCTTTTTCGTATCTGTCGGCATCGAGGTAGGTATTTATCCCTTTTTCGTCCCTCTCTGCCTACCCTCTCCCTCTTCCTTTTCCTCCCTCTCTCCCTCCTTCTCTAATCTCTCTCCCCTCTCCCCTCTCTTCTCTCTCTCTTCTCTCTCTCTCCCCTCTCTCTCCTCTCTCTTCTCTCTTTCATTTTCCCTTTCTCCCCCTTCTGTCATCTCCCTCTCTCCCTCCTTCTCCAATCTCTTTCCCATCTCTCTCTTCTCCCTCTCTCATCTCTACACAGGTGGCAGGCTGGATCACCCCAGTTCCCGGTGGAGTAGGACCGATGACTGTGGCCATGTTGATGAGAAACACTCTTCTTTGTGCTAGAAAACTTCATAAATCTGCAGCTGTAAGTAAGACTTACAGCAATACTTAAATGGCAGTCATATGTAGCATATGGAGATATGGGTATATAAACCAACATCACACATACACTTAGGAAGGAAATGCGATGTTTAGCTAAGAGCGAAGGTGTATATGTTAGCACTAACTCATTTGTTGTGTGTGTGTGTGTGTGTGTGTGTGTGTGACAGGCTGTAGGGGAACCGTGGAATGTTCGCTACCTCCCCCTGGCCCCCCGGGATCCGGTTCCCTCAGATATTGAAGTGGCTCGGGGCCAGACACCTAAGAACATCGCCGAACTGGCCTCTGAGATTGGCCTTAGACTCACCGAGGTACGTAGACATGCACCTGTACAAAGGCTGTGTAGTTTGGAAAGTATTGAAACCTCGGGACATCAAAAGTGTCCTTATTCAGAGGTAATTATAATGCACTGATGTTTTAGTATTGGGTAGAACCAAGTGTCCTTTATAGAGAGGTGTCCTTTATTTGAAGTGCCTTTTCAGAGGTTTAAATTGCTGTGTACACATGTCATGCACCAAAACGGACGAATTTGAAGGATTTTTGATGCACCATTTTGTAGTATAATAGCTCCAAATCAACTCACCTTCTTCTTTTCTCCTTCCTCTCTCCCTCCCTCTCTCCATCCCTCTTTTTCCCTTCCTCTCTCTCTCCATTCCTCTTTCCCTCATCCCTCCCCTCTCCTCTTCCCCTTCCTTCTCCCCTTCCTCTCTCCTTCCCCTCTTCTCTCCCTTTCCTCCCTCACATTCATACACAGATAGAGCCGTACGGCTCGGCAAAGGCAAAAGTCTCTCTATCTGTACTCGAGCGACTGAAAGACCACCCGAATGGCAACTATGTTGTAATGACAGGGATCACCCCCACACCTCTTGGAGAAGGTTGGCATGAAAACGAGACGTGCGGTTGTCGATAGCTGATCTGCGGTATTCAGGTGATAGTGCAAATGCTTACTAACTAACTGTATTGGGCGACTCTCTCCATTAGTAGTGTAACAGACCCCGTACCCTGCGTTGCTTTGAAGCTGGCCACAATCAGTCTATTGATGTATCATCTCTGACTGCAGGCAAGAGCACCACCACCATAGGTCTGACCCAAGCACTGTGTGCTCATCTGCAGACAAACACTGTTGCCTGCGTCAGGCAGCCTTCCCAGGGCCCCACCTTCGGAATCAAAGGTATACGTTTAATCTGTCTGTCTGTCTGTCTACATCTACATATATATCGCTGTATAATACAAACCATGGACTTCCATATACTGCGTTTACGAAGGATATCCAGTTGTTTTGTGTTCACTAGTAACTTCAAAATTATTCTAAATACGTGCGAAAAATTAGCTGCTTGTTTAAAAATTCACATCGTTTTGCTAGTAATGTATGTACATGTGTCTGTCTGTCGTCTGTCTGTCTGTCTGTCACTGCAGGTGGAGCTGCAGGAGGTGGTTATTCTCAGGTGATTCCGATGGAGGACTTCAACCTCCACCTGACAGGAGATATCCACGCCATAACAGCTGCCAACAACCTTCTTGCTGCTCAGATCGATACCAGAATGTTCCACGAGAACACGCAACTAGATATGGTATGAGAGAGAAATGGGGGGAGAGGCAAAATATTAAAGTAAATCACCTTCGTGCTACCAACAGCCCTAGTATCGTGAGGATTCTGAGCTGTCTAAAAGGCACGATAAACGATGCAACTTTGTACCAAAGTTGCATGCATGTTCCAAATGTATGGGCATGTAGTTGAGAGCATTTCTATATGTTGCATGGACCCATCATACCCATACGTTTGAAGGTGTATGCAACTTTGTGTCTCACGCAGCAGAGTCACATTATAAGTATACTAGGAATGCGCACGTGCATATTTTGCCTCGCACCTGCCAGCCAATGCGTAAACAGTCCGACTGAGGCCGCTCGTGCGCACGCTCTACTGACTGCGCACGAAGCCAGACTTCCTACGAATGACGGAAGTTGACATTCCTAAGCGTGACTAATTGACATTCTTAAGCGTGACCGACACGTACGTATGTATATCGCGAGAATACAACCCAGATTAGTTGCCTCACGCTAATGTGCTCGGCAATCATAGCCTAAGTAACTTCCCCCTTAAAGTAAATGCACCCTTGTGCTGTGGCATTCTACGTGAGCTGCCTAAATATAGTTTTATATGACCTCAAATTGATGTGTCGTTGTGTTATGCATGCATATCATCCACGGAAGGCAGTATTTTCATGCGTGAGTAGCTACTATGAGGGAGAAAGGTATGTCTGATGTGCCCCAGGCCCTCTTCAATCGACTGGTGCCAGTCAAGAAGGGAGTTCGCCAGTTCTCGGCCGTCCAGTTGAGGCGACTGCAGAAACTGGGCATCAACAAGACTTACCCGTCTGACCTGACGGAACAGGAGATCTCCAGGTGTGTGTGCTTCGTTCCTGTGTTTGTAAATAACAACAACAACAACAACAAATTAATGGAATGTGGCAGTACGTTTTTATAAATTTTACTATAGTGCCAGAATGCAATTAAGTTTCCGTTTTCAAACAGGTATTTACCAAATTTACCTCTAGTTAGGAAGTCACTCTATCTTTATGTGGTCTAAAACCTGTTTAGTTCCTGACACGAATGTTGTCCAGGTTTTCTCGACTGGACATTGACCCGGCCACCATAACGTGGAACAGAGTGCTCGATACCAATGATCGGTACCTGAGGAAGATCACCATCGGTCAGTCACCCACTGAGAAGGGACTTATGAGAGAGGTCAGCGTGCCTTTTAACATGTGCGTGCGGTTTAGTAGCAGAGTTTGTGCTGTTTAATAGCAGAGTTTGTGCAGTTTAGTAGCAGAGTTCGTGCAGTTTAGTAGCAGAGTTCGTGCAGTTTAGTAACATAGTCTGTGCAGTTTAGTAGCAGAGTTTGTGCTGTTTAGTAGCAGAGTTTGTGCTGTTTAGTAGCAGAGTTTGTGCAGTTTAGTAGCAGAGTTCGTGCAGTTTTATGATAGCAGATGGTGACAGTGTTTTAGTAGCGCAAGCGATTTTAGAGTTGCTATCGAACACATGAATGCTTCCTTGCTTAATTGATCTCTTGCTGAATGGATTCTGCTTGAATGTATATTATTACTTTCTCTCTAGACGCAGTTTGATATTTCAGTGGCCTCGGAGTTAATGGCAATTCTTGCCCTCACTACTAGTCTCAGGGACATGCGGGAGAGGGTGGGACGCATCGTGATTGGTCAGTTTTAGGCATTACATCATTGAGAAATATTCACCCTTTCACTTGATTCTTGTTGCCTGTTTAAACAGTGCGACCTCCGAATAAAGGACACCTCTCTATAAGTGACACTTGGTTCTGCCCCATACTAATACATAGGGACACCTCCGAGTAAAGGACACCTCTCTATAAGTGACACTTGGTTCTGCCCCATACTAATACATAGGGACACCTCCGAATAAAGGACACCTCTCTATAAGTGACACTTGGTTCTGCCCCATACTAATACATAGGGACACCTCCGAGTAAAGGACACCTCTCTATAAGTGACACTTGGTTCTGCCCCATACTAATACATAGGGACAAACTCGAGATAAGGACACCTCTCTATAAGTGACACTTGGTTCTGCCTCCATACTCATAATACATAGGGACACACCTCTCCGAGTAAAGGACAACCTCTCTATAGTGACACTTGGTTCTGCCCCATACTAATACATAGGGACAAAACCCACGAATAAAAGACACACAAAATCTCTATAAGTGCACATTGTTTCTACCCCATACTAATAACATAGGACAACCTCGAAACGACAGTAAAGGACAACAACCCTCTATATAATGACACTTGAGTTACTGCCCCATCTAATACATAGGGCAAAACCATCATCTATAAAGTGACACTTGGTCTGAACCATACAAATAAATAGGGACAAAAACACACCATCCGAAAAAGGACACCATCTAACTATAAATGACACTGATGACCGGCTTTCTGCGGTCCTCATAGTACTGCGCTTCTCGCCGGGTGGGGTGCGCGCGGCCCCTACTAATAATAGGGACACCTTCCGAGTCAAGGACACACCATCCATCTATATAAGTGACACTTGGTTCTGCCCGCATAAACTTAATACATTAGTTTATCAGTCTCACAAGAATAAACAACACATCGGAATGAAGGACACAGATCCCCCAAGGTGTCCTTCATTCAAAAATTTCAGCACATTCTGAAAAACAAATGTCAGCGGGATTCTTGAAACTGAATTTCTGAGCCAGTATTCCTCTCTGGTAATGTTTGTTAGGATGAACAGATAAGGAGTGAGATGAGCCAGGTACAACATCATGAAATGAATGCTGGGGAGCTGACCGTGCAGTCCACCCGTCTCTATCTCAAAGAGACAGGCCTAAAACCAAAACGCTCAATGCAAGACCTCGGTTAAGATATGGGGCCTTTTAAAATTTTACTATAGTAGAAACAAAAAAATGGGGCAACCAGATGAAGAATCTCAATTGAGTTCCAGTTTGTAGTAACAGTTTCCAACTTTAAGCCCCTTATAGTCTCTACTGCCACCATATAAATAAGATACCCACAATATATATGAGTGACAGTATATAGCCAACCAACCAGATCCAGTCTAAAATAGCACTACATCACACGTCCCTTTGTCCTTCCCGCTGTTCACTTACGTGCCCGTCTATGTAAGACAAAACTCTGTCACTCCACCATTCTCCATCCAGCTGCTCTTGTGTATTCTTTTCTTTCCTCGCTACTGGATCTTTTGTCACGTCCTACTCTCTGTGCTTGTGTTCTCGCTCCACTCTCCTTCTTTTCCGTCCCATTCTTACTGTTTCCTCATGTCGATCTGTCTTCCTTTCAGTCTCTTTGTCTCTACCCTTCTCTACAGCACACCTTGTTTCTGCGTCCGTGCGACTTTTGCGGCTTCTCTTTCTCCTTTTTCCTTTTCTCTTACTCTCCTTCCTACCTCTTCTCTCTGACCTACCTCCGCTGCCTCCCTAGCTCGACTTTGTTCTGCCTCTGGTTTTCTGTTCTCCTCGTTTCTCCTTTTTCCCCGCCCCCCCCTTTCGCCCGCCTCTGGGGCCTTCCCTTTCTCACGCTCTAGTTTTTTTACTCCTTACCCTGTATTCCTTCTACGCTGTCCATTCCTTTCTCTTCTCTCTTTCTCTTCGCTCCTCATGCTGCCATCCCCCAGTCACTTACTTAGTAGGGCACCCGGTTAATTATGTCCCACGGCTGGAAATACCGTTTGCACAAACGAATAGCTCACGGTAAAACCTAAAATCCTCCCTCCCAACTTGCCATTGACATGCTGTCCCTGAAACTGGTGGGTAAGGACGGCATTCTGTTGGACACATGAACCTAACTTAGATGTCAAAAAAAAGGGGGTTTCGGAGCCAGTGACAATATAAGTGATGGAGAAATTCTTCCCCTTAAGCTATCTTCTTCTTCTGTAACATTACTAGTCACTATGACCGCTAAAAATGTGGTATATACTGTAACTAAATCAAGTAGGCTGCCATAAATATACAGTACTACTATTCCTTAGTCATATACCTCTCGCCTCTATCTACAACTAGCGACACATCCCCTTGAGTTTCAAAGTCACATAATTACGTGGAACCTTCTCGTATAAGGGACCCATCTGAGATAAGGGAGGAACCATCTCTACAAAGGACACAACTTAATTATCAACCCAATGTATTATCTTTTAGTGTATTATTTTGACCTTCCGAGATAAAGAGACGAAACCTCATCGCCCAAAGGGCCAAATCACATCGGCCTACCATAATTTCATATTTTCCATTGTTTGGAGCGTTCCGCTGTAATTATTCCCAACTTGTCCTGTCCCCAGGGCACTGGTTCCGAGTGTGCGTTCATTGGTAGCTACAGTCAGAGCCCTCAAGGAGGATGCACGGTGGGAGGACCTACAGTCGTGTCGGGAAGACCTCTGTACCCGTGATCCTGACCGGAGAAACCTACTCTCTTCTGACGACGGGACCTTTGCACCCATCCCGAAACCACACATCGAGAACGTCCGTCTGTTTGGCGTACCAGTTGTCGTATGGCTATCAACACACGAAATATTGGTGACTGATCAAGTTAATTGAGTATTTATTTGTCGTTTACCTTTTTCCATTGAGTTGGGTCAAATATCAATAGATCCTAGAATATAAAATAGAAATCATATTATTGTATTTGCACTTTATAACATTGGTTATACCTCCCTAATTATTCGGTTTACAGAAAAGCTAAAAAAAGGAGGAAAATAAGCGTAAGGAAAGAGGGCCAATGTTGTAACTTTCACAAAAGCTGGAATGTACTAGTATGTAAGTAATGTGTAATATTATAGCCGTGCTTATGTATTGGATTGATCATGTTAGTACTTTCCCATTCCGCTCTTGTGGGTGTTAGTAAATTGTAGTGATCAAGAAACTAAGGCCCCCCAAGAGAATTACTTTGAGAAAATCGTATTAATAACGATATGATCTAAGCTCTGAGATTGTTATGTGTTAAGTGGGAGACCCACTTACTGGGTG